TATTTAATTTTGATAATATAATATACATTTGTAGTGACCTGCTTTTCTCGACAAGAACGCGATTGGTATAAATGGAAACGATTATTATTATAACCAATTGTACCAGTGATTGTTTTACCATACTTGCTGTTGTTTAACTGTATCAAAATCACTTTTCGTTCGATCACCTATCTTGTCCTTTCAAACGTTCTTACGTTCTGCCCTGTACTCTTTGGCACGTCTCGGTATTATTTCGATACCACGAGATCGCCAATAAATATACTTTATCTGGACTAATTACAGCTTTCTGGTTTACGAACTATCAAAAGAATCAAGTGGATTTCGGGCGCGTAATCTTACTGTAGTGGTGATCATAGTCAATCGAGACTCAACGTCATCTACACATTTGTCAATTAATCTGAAACCTTTGAGAAAGTTAAAACGTAGCGAGCATTTCATTTGATGATCTAGGAAAGGTTTTAGAAAGAGTCAATACCAAAACTTCATTTCATCAAATTTGATTGATTGTCCTCGTTTAGTAGATCAAATTAAAGTATTTATAACTGTTTAATGTATATCATTTCATTTATCCATCTGAAATCGGTTTCATATCTAACATATGAAGAACGCTACAAGAATTCAAGAAAACGATTAGAATCCTTATGTTTATGAAACGTTTGTAATACCATTTTTGGTTCCCAATCGAGGAAAATTTGAAGAACGATTTCATCGATCTTTTCATCTTAAATTCGTCTGTTTATTTATACATCCACCTTTCATATTCTTGTTATACTGTAGTGAACAAAACACTAGTTGGGGACAATCGAATGTATTTAAGCAAAGATTACAGACTATCTCAGTAAATTCTGATAACCAAACAATGAACAGTCAATTTGCAAATTAACAACCAAATGTTTCAATCTTCACTGTTTCTTCTCTTATTCCATTGCTCATGCATTTTCCAAACGATTGCGCTTCATTTCAGTTCTTCCCTCATCGGTCTACTGCCAAAATACATTCTATGTCTGACTCACACCATATACTACTTATATGGATATAAGTAGACCACACCACAATACTACTTATATATTTTCGAAATGATTACTGACACACTTTATATTACTGAATGTTTAGTGATTATTTTATTTCAAAAATTTTGTATGACATTTTCATTATGTTCGTTCAGAATTTTCCTTTATTTGTTTTAATGTATATATCACTTGTATTACTGATAACTAAGCACTAATGAAAATTTATCAAATATCATTGAAGATATTAAGACTATTGACTAAAAACTAGAATTATTTGTTTGTGGTAACAGTCCAGTCAAAAAGGGTTACTTACTTACGCTTGTTATACCTCGTAGAGGAGGTGTTCTTGGCAATTCCTTCTAGTTTTTTTCCAGTTTTTATTCATCCTTTTCATATCTGCTTCCAATTTTCAAAGCAGTGCGTTATTCGGCCTTCCTCCTTTCTGTTTCCCTTCAGCATTCCAAGTTACGACTTACTAAGTGATACACTTTGATGATTTCCGTAGTGTAGGTCCTATCCACTTTCATCGTCCTTTCCTAATTTCCTCTTTATTTGGAAGTTCGTCTGTTCTCTCCCACAGTAGGATGTTGTTGATGATATCCAGTCAACGAACATTAATTGTCTTGAGTAGACAATTGTTTATAATTACTTGTACTTTCTTGACGATTGATTTAGTAGTTCTCCATATTTTAGCTCTGTACAGCAGAACTGTCTTGATGTTCGTATTGAAGATTGTGACTTTGATATTCGTTGACAGATGTTTTGAGTTTCATATGTTCTCCGATTGTTGGAATTCGTCCCTTGCTATGTCAATCCTCGCCTTTACGTCTAAATTAGACCCTCCATGTTCATCGATAATACTTCTCAGGTACGTGAAACTATCTACCTGTTTCAGAGTTTCTCCATCAAGTGTGATTGAGTTGGTGTTCTCTGTATTGTATCACATAGAAAAAAAATCTTGCTAAAAAACATCAACTATAAAATGTTAATCCTAAATTAAATAAGCAATACACACAGTATGGATATATACCAATAAGAGACTGATCAATTACAGTCCTAGACAACCAATACCAAGTGGACTTAACCTACCTCGTTTCAAAAACTAAGAAATATGAAATAGAGATTAAAAAATATTTTATATAAAGTGATATCTGATTCAATTGTGATTTAGATGACCACATAACTCCGCTTGTAGCTCATCCGGGGGCTACTGCCGGTCCCAAACACGGGTAAAGGAGGAGGGTTGGGCATGGGGTTAGCAACCTTATCCCGTAAAAAATCAACTCGCTAAAAAAAACGCTAACCAGAAAAATTATTCAGATGACCACATAAGCGATCTTCTATATGCTCGCTATATAACCATTTTTTGGTAAATATGATTCATGTTGGAGGACAGATGTAAGTGTAAACAATGTTATATAGTGTAAGAGAAAGTTTTAAATTTTATAGTGTGCTTTATTCTCTTAGACTTACATGTAAATGTACATACATACCTATTATAAACGGTAGGATACTTATAATAACTCTAGGGTTTCTTTTTATATCAGTCCTTTTACTTTTTACACTTATGTGGTTCGTTAATTTACCTTAGATGAATATCTACATTAGATTACCAACCAGTATCATCTATTCTACAGGACTTCAACACAACTCAGATCAAGAACGCTAGATTAGCCTGACTAGAATGTCAATATATTTCCACACTAAAATCCGACACAATCCAACAAGAAGGAACAGTCAATCAGTAATAATAAGGATAGGGAAATATATAACACATATGACACCTGACATCCTATTTAATGTCTGACTCTACAAAACAACCAATCATTATCATTCTCGCCCACACATTAATACCCTTATTACTTACAATGAATAGTAAGATCGACTTTATCATTGGTTCATGTTATGTCTTCTGTTTGATTATTGCAGAATACGGTAAAGAAAAAGAGGCTCTTGAACGTGTAGAACCCCACAGTCGCAGATCAAAAGACGGAAGAAGCAAGACAAGTGATTAATGGTTAAGAATCAAAAATGTACGGAGAAATAAGGGTATTTATAATCATTAGCATTGGTTATACTTACTTACTTACGCTTGTTACTCCCAGTGGAGCATAGGCCGTCGACCAGTATTCTCAAACCCACTCTGCCCTGGGACTTCTTTTCTAGTTGTAACCAGTTTTTGTTTATTCTTCTCATGTCTGTTTCTATTTCTCGGTATAATTTGTTCTTTGGTCTTCCTAGCATTGATTATAAAATCATTATAATTCAATCAATCCGCCAGGAGAGAAGTTATACAATTGTCTATTCGTAGCATCCCACGTTAATATTTTTTAGAACGCACTATCATGTTGTGATAAGACCAAATCTCTTTAGCTCCTTTAGATCCTCTGAACGCTTCGTTGTACTTTTTCAAGTCATCTTCAACAGTTCAATGCATCTATCTTCAGTCTAATAACATAATCAAAAAACAACCTAAACCTCCTATAGGAAATTATATAGTTGATTTAGTTTCAGTTAAAATACAATGCGTTTCCTATAAAGTTTTTTTCCCCTTATACTGTAACCCAATGTACTCATTATTTCCTGTTATTACCTACCTCTACATTCAATATAAACTGACTACATCTAGTTACATAATATAATAAACAGTAATAGTAGATTAATGCTTCAATTCCTTAGGTGCGTGGTAACTTCCTCTTTATGATCTATTTTTTTCTAGGAATAACATTTGCTTGTTACTAACAAACAGGAAGATAAAATGAAAATGATTGATGAGTTTATCTGGTGTTTTCAACGATTTATTTTATGTATATCTACATGATAGTAACACAACTTTTTCATTCCAATTTAATAGATAGATAGAGCGAAATTCATAGACTGGTCAAATAAAACATTATGGATGGTAATTAATAGTGGAATCCAGTTTGACGTGCGTTTCATCCTATTTAGGACTCGTCAGCTGGATGTATCTGCATGCCAGAGTTGATGTTCATTCCTTGACTTGAACTTATTACCTTTCTATTCAAACGTTGTCATTGTTATTCACTTAGCTACTGAATCCTTATGGCTAAAGACACTTATTTTATTCTTTCTAATTGATAACATAACTAATACATTTATACTTAACCTGGATATTAATCGACCTAACTTTAAAAAAGATAAATATAATTCAACCACTAGTTCAATTCACGAATATCTAGTTATTTCTACTGATATTGTGGTGTGGGCTACTTATATCCACATAAGTAGTATATAATGATGGTCGGGCAGAGAATGTATTTCAATAGAAAGCAAGATTCTCTGATACATCACATTATGCATCAATCAAATCACAATTGACGGAGAAGCTTTGGATGATGTGGAAACCTTTACATATCTGGGCAGTATCATTGATGAACATGGTGGATCTGATGCAGATATGAGGGCGAGGATCGACAAAGCAAGTGCAGCATATTTACAACTGAAAAACATCTGGAACTCAAAACAATTGTCAACCAACACCAAGGTTAGAATTTTCAACACAAATGTCAAAACAGTTCTACTGCATGGGGCGGAAACTTAGAGAACTACAAAAGCCATCATCCACATGATACAAGTGTTCATTAACAGTTGTCTACACAATATACTTCGGATCCGTTCGTCAGACACTATCAGCAACAACCTTATGTGAAATAGGACAAACCAGATTCCAATTGAGGAAGAAGCACTGGAAGTGAATAGAACACACATTGAAGAAATCACCCAACAGCATCACAAGACAAGCCGTCACATGGAATCTTGAAGGTCAAAGGAGAAGAGGAAGACTAAAGAACACATTACGACGAGAAATGGAAACAGATATGCGAAGAATGAACAAGAATTGGATAGAACTAGAAAGGAAGGTCGAGGACAGAGTGTATTGGAGAATGCTAACCAGAGGCCTATTCTTCATTGAAGGTAACAGGCATAATCTAACACAAATAAGTCTCTATAATATTATAACAAAATAAACCTGAATATATATAAATATATTTCAATAAATGTAATACATTTCAAATTGTATTTTTCTTTTGATTATACATATATATTACTGATCTACATAATTAGTAGTTAAATGTGTTATGTTTAAATTTTCTTTCTTTTTTATTCTTTTCATTATCCTAACATGAAAAATTTGCCACGTTTTTCATTTGGAGTAATGAAACATTCATTAAAACAATAATTATTATCTTGTATATCATTCGTTGAATTTAATAAACAATCAACATAACAATTTAATACACTACGTAATAATGTATTATCAATATAGCGGGAATTGACAAGTTGTTGTTTAGGGGCAATTATAAGTAGTATAGTAAAAAATAATAGAAATCTTGACCTATAATTAAAGGAAGAAAAAAACAAAACAGGTTAGATATGAAAAAAAATTAAAAAAAATAAAAAAATGGATAGGTTTTTGTTAAATGTTTCAGTCACAAGAAATGATGGATAGGAGTTAGTAGTGGAATACAGGACAAGTGAGTTTCGTCCTATTTGAGACTCGTCAGATGGATATACCTGAATCTCAGAGTTGATGTTCACCCTAAAACTTGAACCCAGTATCGTTCGCTTCAAATGGCATCACCTTATCTGCTTAGCTACTGAGACCAGATAACCAATAGCTTGTGCATTGAGGTGAAGTTTAAATTCACTTGGATTTGTTTGCTTGAATCTTTCCATTGATGTTTAGGACTGCAATTGATTAGTCTCTTATTGGCTGGATAACACGTTGGTGTTTCAAGCGAACAGTATTGTGTTCGAGTTCTATGAGTGAACATCAAGTCTGAGATGCAGGTACATTCAGCTGACGAACCATAAATAGGATGAAACTCTCACCCTGGATTCCACTGTTAGCCACTATCCTTCTTTGTGTATAATGTTTGTGAATTAAGGCTATATAAAGGCAATACACACAGGATGCACATATGCCAATAAGTGACTAATCAATTGCAGTCCTAAACATCAATGGGGAAATTCAAGTAAACAATACCAAGTGAATTTATTGTTCCACTTAGCTCTTCCAATAAAAAGAGAATAATTAAATGAGACGTTCTTCGGAGATTTTGATTGTGTCATGGGTTGTGAATTTGATATTAATAATAGTAATAATAATAATAATAAGTATAGTCTTTTCAATGAATACCGCAGGTTTGAATACAGTAAAGAATTGTCGGTAGATAATGTGCATTCTCCATCTGATGACTTTTTCATTTATGAATATTCAGAAATTATGTATAAAGCTTCTTTAAACTGTGATTAAGGTCCCACCATTTTCATACTTGAATTCATGACTTGATCTGAGATAGATCACCACTGAAACCTGGAAACATTGGACGGCCGTTTTGTATTAGAACGGGACATGTCAGCAATGCGCATCAGCTATTCCATTCTGATAATAATCACTTACTCACTAATAACAAGCTTCGAGATGTAACGCATGGAGATGTAGTGAGAAGCCATGACCAATAGAGTTCAGTCAGTGTCGGGTAAAGACAGTTACCCTTTAGTAGCCCTTTAATATCTGACTCTAGGTAGATCGTATGAATGATTTTCATTGACTGATTGCTGTCGAAAAATATATGTCGACAACTCTCGTATATGTAATCATCGATTTGAATCGCATCTGCCAATAACGGGATTAAATAAGTGAAATACGAAAATGAGGTTTGAGTACGTATATTTCCTACAATTGTTGAACTGGACAGACAATCAGAGGAACGAAGTGAAGAAAGAGAAGAGAAATGATGTGCAGTGCAGAAGGAGTGTGAGCCAACTCAGTATAGTCAAGGGATAATCGATATTTACAACAGAAAAAAAATCATTTACAGGCATGTGATGCGTAACATAGGAAATGCACACTAATACGCTCATATAAAAACAGTCAGCATTGACAAGGTCAAAATGAATAGACTGGCCTGTCTGAAAGCTAGAATAAACTGTGTGGGCTTAACATTGCAAGCGACACTACAGTCCACTTCAAACAATAGATGAAAGATTGTTCAAGATCATGGATTGATTGAAGTTAGACACTGACACTGTTAGATACCGCCTCAGTGGTCTAAACGTTAAGCAATCTCGCACTAGACAAATGGTCTTGAGTTCGAGTCCTACGTGCAGGATCATAGTTGCACACTTCTGTGGAGTCCCATATTATGGCAAAACGGTCATCTATTTCTTCCAGGTTTCCGATAATAGTCTAACTTAGATCAAAAATCTCCACAAATCCCCGTTTCTTCAACTGATATATACATATATGAATGTTTAGTCAGTCAGTCAGTCAGTTACAACGTAGAACTTCGTACGTACGTACATCAGTTCGAGTTGCCATACCACATTAGCACAGAGATGCAGTTGTCGATTCAAATCCCATAGTGGTGGAAGTAGTAGGAGTATAATCAGAAATCCAAAAGATTAGGGTTTGAAGAAATTATTGAAGGAGTATAGTACAGTGAAATAAATTTGGAAAGAGAAAAATATAAAGACATGAGGAATTCAGAAGATTAGAATTTGGTGGAACACAAAGAGTGGATGCATCTTCGCCATTGCAAACGATTTTGAGCCATTTCATTCAAGGTCTCTAACCATCGGTTGCTGTCATCTCGCGAATCCCAACCAGGTAGTCTACACCTACCAACGTGGCCCAGTCCACTTGTCAGTGACTTCATGGATTTGTGCCACGTTTTGGTCTGGCCGCCCATAGCTTTCTTCCAGCCTACTCCTACACCATGAAACATTGCACGTCGGGGCAGTCGGTGGTTGGGCATACGTAACACATGTTCCAGCCATCTCAACTGATGAAGTTTCACTACTTCATCAATCGATTTGCCATCCCTACCTAGTACTCGTTTCCTAACAACTGCATTACTTACCCGGTGGTCCCAGGATACACGAGCAATGCTTCGAAGACACCTATGATCAAACACTAGTAGACTACGAATATCCTCTACTCTTATTGGCCATGTTTCACTGCCATAAAGTAGGACGATATGAATGTTTAAGGGCAGGAATAATAATATTCATAATTAATTTTTATTGATCAATGTTTCAGATGTTCATTGTAATATTGTTTTTTATATTTAATTATCAACACCCTAAAGGGATTCATTTTCCTTATGAATAACAAAAGATCAATATAAATTGAACTTTGAAGACAACAAACAAACTAAAATGACGAAACGGTCATCCAGTGCTTCCAAGTTTTCCATGCCAGTATAACAATACTGGCATAATAATCAGAGATAGATGGTGTTTAGCAGTAGAATTCAAGACACATATTTCGTCTAGTGCTCTCAGGTTTCCAATAGTGCTCTAGCTGATATCGATTCATGAATTCAACTATTCATTTATTTTAACAGTTAAGATCATGAGTCAATTGAAGCTAGATCACCATTGAAAACTTGAAAACAGTGGATGGCCGTTTCGTTTTATTGTATGACTCCTCAGCAGTGCGCATCCATTCAAACTTAAGGAGAAAATATCTTTCTAATTCTTTCTGCTATTCATCATAACGTTACTGAATACTAGTCTATGACAACAATCTATCTATTCAATGTTCACAATTTGTTGTATCCCGAAGAGAATTGTGAATGGTAACTTTTGAGAACCAATGTAATATGTCTATTTCCTATTGTATAGTTGTTACGTAACTAAACTATTCATATTCATGTTCCTCTTATCGTAAGTTTTATTTTAATCTTTGACCTATTATTATACGATTCTTAAGTTATCATCAGTCTATCGATTACTGTCCCCCCTATTCACAGCCACATTTGATTGAGTCTTGTACAAATGTTATTTCCTATTTTATGGTACGATGTGGTCTGTTTGATTAGTATATAAATTCAGTATGTTTGAGAATAATGATTCATATTGCCGAAGCTGTTATTGGTATTCTGGACTTAACTGGTTGGGCTAAGCAGAAAGCAGGACCGATAAGTACTCAAGACTGCTCATACAGTTTTTGTGTATTATTGTTCCGATCGATAATTCGCTCTTCTCTGATTGACGGGCATCATCACGTTATATATCGAATAGGGCAAGCACACACTCACATGTTATAACACAATTCAAATCTTTATTAAAATTAGTTTTACTGACATATTATATCTTACTAGTGTTATTTAGTATTCTATTCACCTTACATTCATTAATCAGTTCAAACAAAATAATAATGATAATACTGTGGTGTGTGATGTGGTGCGGTGTGATGTGATGTGATGTAGAAATGAAAGAACAATGTAATCTAAGATGTTCTGTCATTTTGTATCTAAATACATTCTATAGTCCCCCCCACACACACACTTGTGTTCTCATTCCTTACAATACAATACTACCAATACATAAACCTTTTATGTTCAATGAATAATTAATAACAGTTAACTTAAAGGAAATAAGAATAGAACAAAAGACAATCATTGGAACAAATCATTAGTTTCAATAGTTTTATTATTATATTCTATGGTTAAAGAAAATTCATAGAATAGTAATAAGTAACTACTAATTTGATCACATTGTGGTGTATATACTACTAATATCGATAGATATAAGTAGTATGTATTATCAATGGAAAGTAAAATGCCTGAAGGTAGAAGATTAAAAAGATCAAAGTAAAGAAGAATGAGAACAATGAATGAATGGTGTGAAAATGAAAGAACAATGAAATCTCAGACAACTGATGGATATGTTACAAATGAACTATTTAATGTATGATTCTCATATTTGATTAAGAGATTTTGTAATTTCCGTTAACTACAAAAGAATAAGGGTGAACAACAACCAATTAAGATTAGATTTAATGAAACTAGCTATTAGTCAAAATACATTCGATTATCCTCACTTGTGTATTCTGTCACTACAACACTAACATACTGATCAATGTAAGAATTGAATTGATTAAGTTACTAATGTTATATTTATGAATTATATTCAAAATAATATAAGATTGAAAAAAGAATACTGCTGTTAAGGAATTGGCAATGAACGAAGTCATACCTGAACTTTGATTACAGAAACGATTCATTCAACCTCTCCTTTTTCTTTGATCCTAATTCCCCTTAGTAGTGTGTTTCGGGTTGTTGTTTTCATTTTCCACCCTTTTATTTGATTATTACTGAATCTTTTTATGAATTACTGTTTAACATTTTTAACTCTAATCAGTTATTAAGTTCACTTAGTATTGTTTGATGTTTACACTGAGATTCGAACTCAGTATGTTTCACTACAAATGCCATCGCGTTATCCACTCATATACTGAGTTATTAGTATTACCTTATACATGTTTTCTTGATTAATAATCAATCGATTATTATAACTCAGTAGCTGAGGGGATAACGCGTTTGTTTTTGAAGTGAAAGTTACTGAGTTCGAATTTCAGAGTGAACTTTAACTCTGAGATGCAGGTACATCCAGCTGACGAGTCCCAAATGGGACGAAACGCGCATCAAACTGGATTCCACTGCTTTCCACTATTTATCATTACTTATATTATTATGACATTTGTGTTTGTCGCTTTTCTTCATATCTCTTAATTGGACTACATATCTGACCCATAAATTATTTTCTCCCTTATTCCTTAATTAGTACGTAACCTCATTTAGTATTTGTTATCGAAAGAGTTTATAATGCAATCTTTCCTAGCTTCCTGTAGACATATACTTTCCATATAACTATACATTGTATTTGATTAATAACTGCTCATGGCAAAAATAACAACAACTGATTATTATCTTATCAGAAGGGATTTTGTGTGGATATTTTAGTAATTTTATAGTTGAATTCATGAGTCAATTGAAACTAGGCCACCATGGAAAACCTGGAAGCACGACTGCCGTTTCATCCTAATGTGCAACTACTCAGTAGTGCACGTCAATGATCCTGACCCACGAGATTTAATTTATGATGTAATCTTTACGATATTTATATAGACATATATTTTCCACATAACTATATTATATAAATGTACAGCTTAAGTAAATGATTTCGTCGAAAAGAAAATTTTCTTCGCACTGAATTCCCTTTTTCTAATACTACTATATATTTATTAAGTAGTATATATTTTAATTGATTATGAGAATTCATAGTAAATTCACTCAATAAAATTAATTTATCTATTCGGTGAACAATAAAGATTTATTTGTATCTAAGACGATTAATGAAAGTGTTTGTTGAAAGTATGAGTCAAATCTCGTGAGGTGAGGTCGTGGATGCGCACTGCCAATGAGGAGTCCCATCTCTGCAATCCCTTTGAAGTTATTATCTAGATTCACATTATTGATGCATACAATAATTAGAAAATTATTTTAGAATAGGTTTTTGTGGAGATTTCAGTAATTTTATGTAGTTGAGATCATAAGTTAATTTAAGCTAGATTACCATGGAAAACCTGGAAACATTGAAAGACCGTATCGATCTACTGTGAGATTGCTTAGCATTGCTCATCCACGATCCAGACTCGCGAGATTAGAATCCAAGACCTATCAGTCTCGCTTAACTACTAGACCACTGAACCAACATCCAACGGTATGAATTAGTTGAAGTTGGACATTAACACCTTTGGATGACGGCCGGCTAAGTTATCTAGAGTTTAAGCGCTCGCGCGCGAGACTGATATGTTCTAGGTTCCATTCTCATGAGGCGAGATCGTAGATGTGCACTACCTTTTAAGGAGTCCCACAATAAGACGAAACAGCCATCCAGTGCTTCCAGGTTTTGTTTAAGCAAATCAGAAATTTTTATTATTACTATTGAACGTTGAAGCTATTCATTGTTAACATTATGGTTTAGTTTAATTAACTTGAAAAAAAAAAAACCTAATTTAATTTTAATTTTTTTTAATTTTGATTCTCTAATTTAAACGGTAATTGTTATTGAATAAAACAAACATATATTCAAAGTAAAAATGAATAGTACCTAGCAGGGGGATCCACAACAAGCGTTTTATCCTACTTGAAACTCGTTGGCTGAGTGTATCTACATCTCAGAGTTGATATTCACTCTGGGACTCAAGCATAGTACCGTTCACTTCTAATGCCATCGCATTATCCACTCAGCTACTAAGTCATGATAGACACTTGCTTATGCAAAGGGGTAAAATTTAAATTTATTGATCCCATTGTTAACTACTAATCATCTTTGCCTATAATGCTTGTAATATAAGGCTATATTGAGGCTATACGCACAGTATGCACATATGCTAATAAGTGAGAGACTGACCAGTTGCAGTCCTTAAAACATATCGATGGGAATACTCAATCAAATTAATATCAAATAAATTTGAATAATAGATTGTTTAACTTACATTTTCTTTTATATTAAATAATGAACACTATAATCCGTCTACTATAAACAAATTTTTACTCTTTAACATTAATTATTTTTGTAAAAAAAAAAAATTTAAATATTTTGTAGGGAAAAAAAAAACACAACTAAACTCATTCATTTTTTGATTTGTTTTTGTTTAATTGAATAATTAATTAAATTAACCAATCAAAATTAAGATAAATTAAATGAACCAATCAAAATTAAGTATTATAATATAATGTTCATAATGATGAACAACTAATTATGGTCATCTAATTAAACATCACTACCGTTATGATTATTATTACTACTACTTGTTCTACTACTACTACTACTACTACTACTACTACTACTTATATCCACATAAGTAGTATATGGTGATGGTCGGGTATTGAATGGATTTCAGTAGAAGATCGATAAAGAAAGAGACGGAAACGAAATGCAATTGAAATGAAAATGCATGAACAATAATAATCAGAGACGATGGACTGATATTTGCAGAAGGAACAGTCAAGATTGAGACAATTGTTTGATAGTTTGTAAATTAACTGTTTACTGTATAGCTATCAGATTTTAGTGAGGTATTCTGTAATTTTCGTGTCTAAGGCATTCGTTTGTCCCCACTCATGTTCTTGTTCACTACACTACTACGACTACTACTACTAGTATTACTTCTAGTACTAAAATATTCATATAACTGAGTGAACAAAAACAATTTATTTATTCGAAATATTTGGATATCAAAGATGCCAACTCTAGTGTATATTCTCAGAAACTATCCGTATGTACCTTAATATAATATTGAATAAAGCCATTAATAATAATAATATGTTCATCTTATTATAAGCTTCATTTTGACCTACGGCTTATTACTGTACGATTTACTGTTCCTAAATTATACTCAGTTTATTGATTACAGTCTCCCACGTTCACAGCCACATTTGGGCTTGATCTTGTACAAATATTATTTTTTATTTTATGGTGCGATGCGGTTTGTTTGTCTGTTATATAAACCGAGTATGCTTGAAATAAACGATTCTCACAACAGAAGCCGTCAGTGGTGTTCTAGACTCAAGTGGAAGGACTAGGCGGATAAAGGGCCAATAAGGACGCTAGATTACTCATACTGATCGAACGTCATTGGTCTAGCACAGTGCTAAGATTGGATAATTCATATTTCGATTGCTGGATAAATCGCGTGATAAAAAGCCGCGTATAAGATCACAACAAATTGGCTACGGCCTTTATTAAATTCATAACAGCGTCCACTGCGTCTTTCATCCGGTTTAGCGACACTCTATTGAAAACTTTTACTGGTACTGATATTACTGTGATGCCTCTGTAATTCTCACATTCACTCAGATCTCCTTTCTTTGATATCTTGATGAGTTGTCTTTTTTCCAGTCCAATGGCACTTGTTCTTCCCTCCAAATCTTTCTGAATAGAACGTGAAGCATACTTGCAGTTACTTCTTTGTTTGACTTTAGTGCTTCGGATAGTATATTGTCAGGTCCAGCTACTTTCCTACTCTTCATTTGTCTGATTGTCATCTTGATTTCTTTGATCGTTGGTGGAGTGACATCTACAAAAAGATTTGTGTGTGTTGATTCGATGTCCGTTGAATTCAGTGGAGCTGATCTACTCAAAAGTTCCTCAAAGTTTTCCACGCATCTGTTCCTGTACTCTCGAATTTCAGCGAAGTTCTTGCATTCTCTATCTTTGACGGGTCTCTCCGGTTTAATATATTTCCCTACTAGTTTCTTCGTTGTATCATATGGTTGTTTCATATTCCCTTCTCTTGCAGCTTCATCCACTGTCGTCGCAAGCTCTTCCACATATTTCTGCTTGTCAGCCGTAATGCTCTTCTTCGGTTGCTTTTTTGCTTCTGTGTATCTGGCTTGTGCCTACACTTTCTCTGCTCTTGTTTCACGGTTGTTAATTGCTATTTTCTTGTCCTTCTTTTTTTCAATCTTGTCCAGGGTTCACATACAGATCCATTCTTTATGATGATGCTTTTTGCGATTCAGAACCTCCTGAGACGTTGAAGTTAACTCTTCTTTGATCCCTTCCCAGTTGTCCATCATAGTAGTTTCGTGTTCTTTCAGTAGATCCTGTAGAGCTTGGAACCTGTTGTTGAGGGCTATCTCGAGTTAATTGAGTTTGTGAGCATCTCAAAGAAAGGCTGTACTGAATCTTTGTAATGCTGTTTCCTCAGTTTTCCAGTGTTTCTTTAGCCTCAGTTTCATCATGGCCACAACCAGGTGGTGATCTGAAGCTATGTCAACCCTTTTCCCTTTTCTCACATCTCCTTCTGACCCTCTAATTTTTTTATTGATGCAAATATGATCTATGTGGTTCTGTTTAGTGTGATCTGGTGATATCAATGCAACTGTGTATGCGTTTGTTCGGGAATATAGTGCCACTCATAAACATTTTGTTGAATGTACATAGATTTTCAAATCTCTTTCAATTCTCGTCCCTTTCTCCCAGTTTATATTGTCCCATGTTATCTTCATAGCCGTTGTTGTCCACTCTGACTTTGACGATTAGATATCCCATCAGGATGGTCAGATCCTTTCTTGAGCACTTCACTATGATTGATTGCAGCTTCGAGTAGAACTGATCTTTATCGTCGTCGTTGCTATCATCTGTGGTTGCATAACATTGAATAACATTCATTTTGATCCCCTCCTTCTTTATTTTGATGGATGCTTTGATGATCCTGGATCCGTCAGATTCCCATCCTACAAATGAAGTTCGTGCTTCTCTGGACAGCATCAGAGCAACTCCTTGAGTAGGTTGAGCATTTTACTTTTCTTGACCAGGGTAAAGCAGCATCTCTCCTGTATCTAGCCTTTGGTGTTCAGCTTGTGTCCAATGGGTCTCTCTGATTCCGAGAACCTCCAAGTTTTATATCCGCATTTTCGTAGCTATTTGATTGGTCCTCCCAGTCGCCCACATTGTGAGATCGTTCCATGTACTTATAAAAAGTTTTGTTCTGGTTGTTAGAAGGGGTATCAACCTAATGACTTCCAAAGAATCTCGGCTTTCATCCTTAGGCGTCACAATTCTTTCTTCAACTTGGATGTCAGAGTTCAAATGGTTTGATTAGTTCAAGCGAACGGTGGTAGGTTCGAGTCTCAGAACAAACATCAACTCTATAGATGCATGCATATCCCAGTTGACGAGTCCCAAGTTGGACGAAACACATGTTCTGAATGCCACTACTAGCCTTTATCCATCCTTATTTATAAATATCATAATGAATGTTTCCATTTAATTTTTTTACATGACCAAATATTTTTTGTTTGATGAAAAATTTCTCCCCCCCCCAATATTTGACTTTTTTTATTCGATCAAACAAAATCATAAATAATTATGTTTTTTTCTTTTTTTTTCTTTTTTTTTTCGGTAACTAGTTTAATGTTCCATTTGATTTACGAGGGGGGGGGTAATATTGAGAGATGGAAGCAACCCTAAAAAACAGAAACAGTAACCAAGGTATGAAATTGGTCTAAATGAATTTTTATGCATGATTAAATAAGTCATTGAATAAGTCATGGGAACTCATTCGTTCAATTTACCTTCTTAAAATAATGAAAAACTAAAACGTCAATATGATTTTTTTTCTTATTCTGTTTCATATTGGTTACAGTTATTGATGACTTTGAAAAAGGGGTAAAAAGTAGAAGAAAAAACAAACGGTGTAAATCAATTTGACATGATCAATGGTTCAATTAATTTTGAAGATTTTTGATTCAAGGTCACGTTTGTTACCAAAATCACAATTGATTGATCACTGGGTGGTGATCAATGTCATGCATGTCAAGTCCTTCTTATTGTTGATTGAATGCTATTGATCAAATTGAGATGTGGCCACTAGTCTACGTGGTTCGATAGCATTCGAACAACACTGAGAAGGACTTGACATGCATGACATTGATCATCACACATTGATCAATCAATTGTGATTACATCTCAGTCCTACAGGAGGTTGGTCGTGGCCCGAGTAGCTTAGTGGTGACGTCTCGGACTGTGAAGCTGAGTGACACGGGATCGAATACGCCAGGGAGCACCAGTTCCCTCAAGATTACAGGTACACCTTGCTGACGAGTACCAAGTAGCATGAAACCCAGGTTCAGGGTTTACTGTTAACCACCTCCAACCACCATTTTATCTTAATACCAAAATTGATGTCTTCTAAAATAAGGGTAGATTTGGTTTTTAAGCTCTAATAGTATCCCCCAGGTTTAATCTATATAGTAACCTGAATATGAGAGAAAAGGTGAGAAATATGAAAGAAACGCTTTACTCTAAAGGTTCGTTTATGTACAGAAAATCTAAGATATTTATAGTATTCTAGATTTCCTTGGTTTTCCGGAAAATTCTGGAAAACTACTAAATATAGTAGCAGTAGAGGTAATCATCCAATTAGAAACTCCACTTGTGACTTTTCACTCTCTAAATGTTTCATCACACTTTCAGAGTCTTTTTCAGATTTTTTTCATTAATTTACTGGATCCCCTCAACAAAAATTCATTACTTACTTACCTACGCCTATTACTCCCAATGGAGAATAAGCCGCCGAACAGCATACTCAAACCCACTCTGTCCTGATCCTTCTTTTCTAATTCTATGTCTGTCTCAATCTCTCGGTGTAATGTGTTCTTTGGTTTTCCTCATCTCCTTTGACCTTCAGGATTTCATGTGAGGGCTTGTCTTGTGACGCAGTTGGACGATTTCCTCAATGTGTGTCCTATCTACTTCCACCATTTTTTCCCTGATTTCTTCCTCTACTGGAATCTGATTTGCTCTCTCCCAAAGTATCTTGTTCCTGATAGTGTCTGGCCAACGGATCCGAAGTATTTTGTGTAGACAACTGTTAATAAACATTTGTAACTTCTGCACAATGGCCTTTGTAGTTCTCCAAGTTTCCTCCCCATACAGTAGAACTGTCTTGATATTTGTATTGAAAATTCTGATCTTGGTGTTGGTTGACAGTTGTTTTGAGTTCCAAATGTTCTTCAGTTGTGGATGCGCACTGTCTCTGAGGAGTCCCACAATAGGACGAAACGGCCGT